CCTCTGCGGCACTGCAAATAACCGTTGCCACATGTATTCGAAATCGGCGCAAATGGATGCTTCATAAGCCACTCTGTGTCGATTCGGTTAAGCACCCTGTTGGGGCCTTGGCGAAGCTCTCGTGAGCGGCCTTCCGGCATAATATGATAAGGCCGTTTTGAAACCATGCTGGGCCAAGACTCTGACCCAAGAGATCGGGCGGCCTCTTGAAGCATTCTTGGCTCTCTTGGGGTGTTCCTGGGAGACTTGCAGTTTTTTCCGGCCTCTACAAAAGGCCCTCCTCGGGCCCTCTTGGATCATGCTGCAGCAGAGGCGAAACCTCAGAGGCACATCGGAATCCGAAGAAATGGAAAAGCGCAAATCATCAATATCCAAAAGATCGAATCTGGGCATATCGGGGGCATCTCTAGGAGTCTCTCAGCCACCTCGGACCCATCTCGGGGCCCTATCGGGGCGAACTTGGAGCCGTTTCGGTCACCTCTCGGGCGATATCGGGCCTATTTTGGAAGGATCACCGACGGGGGCTGTCCTGGAACGAGTGCAAGGCGAGTCAAGGGTTCCTTGAGGTAGTAAGCTGAGACCGTGTTTCTTAGGATCACGTCGTAGACGTCTCGAAGTATCCCATAATTAATCCCTTGATGACACGCAGGACGATACATAAGATACAAGACATGGGATGGAGAGATGAACCATCGGTGGATGTGGCTTTTTTCCCCGACGCTCATGTTCGATGGTACCTCGAAGTCTCGAGGTAAATAACTCGGGTAGCGCTACCTCGACATGGACTACGGCGTTCGCTATACAATCCCCCCATGTGCACCCTTTCGAACTCAGGAGGGGAAGGACCGAACGTCAAGTCCAGTCCAGTCATAAGCTAATTGAAGAAGTAAGATGGAGAAGCGATTCTCTGAATTCCCCCGCAGTTCGAGAAATCAAGTCACGCAAGGAGCAGCGTAGACTATTAAAGTCTGTCATGGGCAAGACTGCATGACAGACAACCGATTGCCTTTGGCAACCACGGACAAAACCACGTGATTACCCCAAGGTAATTCCCAACCGTGCTGTGGTGTTGGGTCCTCGTTTTGAAAAGACAGCGCCCCGCGTCTCCTCCTCCTTCCTTCCTCCTCCCTCCTCCCTCCTCCCCCTCCTCCCCCCTCCATGCGGTTCACCCACCCAATACAACATTTCGTTGCCCCATAGGGGTCTCCACCGAAAGCCCCAATGGCACCGCCCGCATGCGTCAAACACACCCAATTCGGCACACCCCTCACACGGTTCGTGGCTCCACACGGAACCCCACCGAAGGCCCCAGTGCCACCGCCCGCATACGTCACGCACACCCAATTCGGCACATCCCTCAAACGCTTCGTGGCCCGACAAGGAGCTCCACCGACGGCCCCAGTGCCACCGCCCGCATGCGTCACGCACACCCAATTCGGCACACCCCTCACACGTTTCGTGGCCTCACAGGGAGCTCCGCCGACGGCCCCAGCCACCGCCCGCACACGCACACCCACGCACGTTTCGTGGCCCCATAAGGAGCTCCACCGAAGGCCCCAGCGCCACCGCCCGCATGCGTCACGCACGCCCATGTCGGCACATCCCTCTCACGTTTCGTGGCCCCACAGGGAGCTCCACCGAAGGCCCCAGCACCACCGCCCGCACGCATCACGCAGACCCATGTCGGCACATCCCTCACACGCTTCGTGGCCCCACAGGGAGCTCCACAGAAGGCCCAGCGCCGCCGCCCGCATGCGTCGCGCACACCGCCGCTCACCACTCACACGTTTCGTAGCCCCATAGGGACCCCCACCGAAATCCCCAGCGCCACCGCCCGCACGCGTCACGCACGCCCATGTCGGCACACCCCTCACAAGTTCAGTGGCCCCATAGGGAACTCCACCGAAGGCCCCAGTGCCACCGCCCGCATGCGCCACGCAAGCCGATTTCGGCGCAACCCTCACACGCCTCGTGGTCTCACAGGGAGCTCCGCCGAATGCCCCAGCGCAACCGCCCGCATGCGTCACGCACGCCCATGTCGGCACACCTCATCACGCGTTTCGCGGCCCCACAGGGAGCTCCACGGAAGGCCCCAGCGCAACCGCCGGCATGCGTAACGCACGCCCAATTCGCCACACCCCTCACACGCTTCGTGGCCCGACAGGGAGCTCCACCGAAGGCCCCAGTATCACCATCCGCATGCGTCTCGCACACCCAATTCGCCATACCTTCTTCGTATCCCCCTAAGGAGCTCCACCGAAGGCGCCAGCGGCTGCGTTCGCACGCGCCCACCGCACCCATTTCGGCACACACCCCACACGCTTCACGGCACCATAGGGAGCTCCACCGACGGCCCCAGTGGCTGTGATCGCACGCGCCCACCGCACCTATTTCGGCACACCTCTGGCGCGCTTCGTGGCCCCATAGGGAATTCCACCGACGCCCCCAGTGGCTGCTTTCGCATGCGCCCACCAGACAAATTGCGGCACACTCCTCACATGTTTCGCGGCCTATAGGGAGCTCCTCCTAACGCGGTGCATGCGACGACGGCACTCACAACTGCGAACGGTTGGCTATTCGCCAGGCTATTGGGGGAGGGCGTCTGACCAGACCGTCAGACGTCAAAGCTTGCAAGAAAGAAGATGCTTGATAAAGCTGTCAGGCACCGAGGCTTGGCCCGCACCCGGGCTGATACAGGAATGCTGCTCGTTTCCGAGCCTGCGCTGGCTGTGATGTAGCCAACCGTATACCGTGTCCGCGAGCCCTAAGTAGGGCATACCGATGTTGGTGCTGCTTGGTTGCATCGAGAGGGCGAACACTTCTTCACCTCATGTTTGAACGACTCTTTACTTCGCATTACTTGCAGTAATAGTGCGCGAACAATACAGCCTTTGGTATGACAACCGGCTGTCACATCTAATGCATCACGCCACTGTAGGCTATGAACAAGCACTCGATCCATCATCGGTCGGATTCAGCTGATATGTCCTAGCAGGGCACATTCTGCTGGCTTCTTCAGGTCCTTACTTGACGGGAACGTAAAGACCGACTCGGCGTCTATTGTGGGGATAGCTCTAATGCTCAGACCACCGGTCTCTAAAATCTTATTGAGTTGCGTTGGCGTCAGTGGCCCAGCCTCGAGCTCGCGCAGCGCCGCAACTCACGGGCTGCAGCTACTGCCTCAGCTGCGTAGCGCGGGCGCGCCTGCGAGCGATGTCACTTGCAGCATGCGTCGATCAGGTGCGCCACTGCGTGTCCGCCAGGCGCACGCCCGCGCAAAAAGAGGCTGGCCCCTCGGACGCCGCGCCCCCCGGCTTCGTCATCGGCCTCGTCGTTGCGGCGACGATGACCAGAGTAACTAATGAGGTCCTTCTCCTGTCGGGGTCATGATATGACGTGGCATGTTCTTTGGACCCCGGGGTAGTTTGCGCGTCGCGGGCTTGTCCTCGTACTTGTAGTTCGGCGGGTTCTTCGACAAGTTGTAGTGGAACCGCATATACCATCAAACACACTCGCGCGATCAATGCATATGCTAACGCACCACGTAACCCTATGAAAATATCAGATAGTGTTGCAGTCGCCTTTTCTTCTGCTGCAGCACCCGTAAGTTCTGGGTGTTGTACCCTTTGATGTATTCACCCTGTTCATATTGGACGCGGCCGTCCTCGGTCTCGGCGTAGCGCTCGGCGCAGTTACTTTAGCTGTGCTTTTGTAAGTTCACATGCGCCGCTACGTCGTCAACGCGATTGGCTGGCGGGAGGTTTGGGCACGTCTCGAATTCTTCATCGCATGAGCTAGGTGTCAGCCCAAAGCCTCCCGTGATGGCCCTGAGTTTAAGTGAGAAGGCCCCGGGTGCAACTTTGGCGTCGGCGCCTGCGTTCAAGCCCTGCAGGCATCGCTTTGACTCGCCATAAGACGCAAAGCCTGGCAGCGCGCGTAGCACCGATGCTGAGCCAGGTGGCCAAGTAAAGCAGGCCATACGCTCCTTCTCTCCAGTGGCTCTGGCCAACTCACGATAAGTCCGGCCTTTCAAGAAGGCCGCGTCAATGTCCATGGACGCCATGGCCCACGTTTCTCGCACGCGGCCGCGCCCGCGAGCAGTCTCTGACCTGCTCGGCAAGCTTTGCCCGAGAAGGCTTCTACGCCGCAGGCTTCGACATCCATGGAGCCAGGAAGGGCCAGGCGAAGCCGGGTGGTTCGTCCCATCTCGCCTTCTTCATTCTTCGCGAACTTCCATGTGCGCACGTGTCTAGATGTCAAGATGTGAGCGGCGTGCGTAATACCGTGCATCTTGAAGAACTTGGAATCCTAAAATATGTTTAAACCCTGTGAAAGGCCTTGGATATCTAGGCCGGGTTCAACAATATTCAAGCCTTCGCCAAACGGTCGTCTTCATTGACGACCACGGCTCTCCTGGCTGTAGCCATGAAATATACGCGCGTAGTGGTTTCCTGACCGTCATGGAATGATTTGCGTCGTTGTTCTGTCAGAACGTCCCTGGCCGCATCATTGGAGAAACACAGCTGAACGCACTGACCGTGTTCGCCCGAATCAAAAGCACATGGTTCGTCATGTTCGCCGATGCAGGGCGCTAAGAATGCATCATCAGTGCCGTCATGACGATCGCGGCCTATGTCCTGCAATTGTCTTTGTATTCCACTGGCAGCAATCGCGAGCGCGTGACTTTCCGAAAGCATTTCAGTGGGAACATACTATACATGATTTAACATGCTCTCAAGCAGAAAACCTACTACTATCTGGCTGGGTTGCACGCGCAGCGGGGGCACGATGGAGGTCGTTCGCCATCGAGCCCCGGTTTTTAAGTCCTGCAGAGCGGCGAAAGCACAGGCGGGCAGGGAGCGACGGGGCGGGCGCCTTTCTGCTTGAGCCCCGATGATTACGAGGGCCAAGAGGCGTCAGACGGACGCGCGAGAAGCGACACTCACAAACATCATAAATCATTCCCGCGCACGCACTAACATGATTTACCATGTTTTCAAGCGGAGACCGTCTGCGACTATCTGTCTGGATTACACGCGCAGCGCGGGCGCGATGGAGGTCGCCCGCCATCGAGCCCCAGCTAAAGCCCCAAACCCCCGAATTAGATCAGGGTTCACGCGGGCGGGGCGAAACGGGGCGGGAGGGGGCGAGACCGTGCGCGGCGCCGACAGGCACCGAGCAAAAACAGCCAGCGCATCACCGGGCACGGGCCCCCACGGGACCCACTCAATGAAAAATGGAAACCGCGAGGTTCTGACAGACCAGAACTCTGGCGAGAGCGGCGGCGAGGCGAGACGGATACGGCCGAGCAAGGCGGCCCCACAATGCGTTTTTATCATTGCGACCGCTGAGTTCCTGATGTCGGCGGCGGGCGCGAGAGTAAATGCCGCGATGGCCTGAACAGCAGCGGCCCAGCAGCGCAATGTCGTCATCGTCGACAATTGCCGCGCGCAAGCCATGTCCGTTGTCGCCGCGGTGTTCCCCACTGACAGTAATCGGTGAGCCGCCAATCCGCCGTCGCCTGATTGCACAAGCGGAATATCGCGGATTAAAGTCTGTCGTGGGCAAGACTGCATGACAGACAACCGATTGCCTTTGGCAACCACGGACAAAACCACGTGATTACCCCAAGGTAATTCCCAACCGTGCTGTGGTGTTGGGTCCTCGTTTTGAAAAGACAGCGCCCCGCGTCTCCTCCTCCTTCCTTCCTCCTCCCTCCCCCCTCCTCCCCCTCCTCCCCCCATCCATGCGGTTCACCCACCCAATGCAACATTTCGTTGCCCCATAGGGGTCTCCACCGAAAGCCCCAATGGCACCGCCCGCATGCGTCAAACACACCCAATTCGGCACACCCCTCACACGGTTCGCGGCTCCACACGGAACCCCACCGAAGGCCCCAGTGCCACCGCCCGCATACGTCACGCACACCCAATTCGGCACATCCCTCAAACGCCTCGTGGCCCGACAAGGAGCTCCACCGAAGGCCCCAGTGCCACCGCCCGCATGCGTCACGCACACCCAATTCGGCACACTCCTCACACGTTTCGTGGCCTCACAGGGAGCTCCACCGACGGCCCCAGTGCCACCGCCCGCATACGTCACGCACACCCATGTCGCCACACCCCTTTCACGCTTCGTGGCCCCACACGGAACCCCACCGAAGGCCCCAGTGCCACCGCCCGCATACGTCACGCACACCCAATTCGGCACACCCCTCACACGTTTCGTGGCCCCATAAGGAGCTCCACCGAAGGCCCCAGCGCCACCGCCCGCATGCGTCACGCACGCCCATGTCGGCACATCCCTCTCACGTTTCGTGGCCCCACAGGGAGCTCCACCGAAGGCCCCAGCACCACCGCCCGCACGCATCACGCAGACCCATGTCGGCACATCCCTCACACGCTTCGTGGCCCCACAGGGAGCTCCACAGAAGGCCCAGCGCCGCCGCCCGCATGCGTCGCGCACACCGCCGCTCACCACTCACACGTTTCGTAGCCCCATAGGGACCCCCACCGAAATCCCCAGCGCCACCGCCCGCACGCGTCACGCACGCCCATGTCGGCACACCCCTCACAAGTTCAGTGGCCCCATAGGGAACTCCACCGAAGGCCCCAGTGCCACCGCCCGCATGCGCCACGCAAGCCGATTTCGGCGCAACCCTCACACGCCTCGTGGTCTCACAGGGAGCTCCGCCGAATGCCCCAGCGCAACCGCCCGCATGCGTCACGCACGCCCATGTCGGCACACCTCATCACGCGTTTCGCGGCCCCACAGGGAGCTCCACGGAAGGCCCCAGCGCAACCGCCGGCATGCGTAACGCACGCCCAATTCGCCACACCCCTCACACGCTTCGTGGCCCGACAGGGAGCTCCACCGAAGGCCCCAGTATCACCATCCGCATGCGTCTCGCACACCCAATTCGCCATACCTTCTTCGTATCCCCCTAAGGAGCTCCACCGAAGGCGCCAGCGGCTGCGTTCGCACGCGCCCACCGCACCCATTTCGGCACACACCCCACACGCTTCACGGCACCATAGGGAGCTCCACCGACGGCCCCAGTGGCTGTGATCGCACGCGCCCACCGCACCTATTTCGGCACACCTCTGGCGCGCTTCGTGGCCCCATAGGGAATTCCACCGACGCCCCCAGTGGCTGCTTTCGCATGCGCCCACCAGACAAATTGCGGCACACTCCTCACATGTTTCGCGGCCTATAGGGAGCTCCTCCTAACGCGGTGCATGCGACGACGGCACTCACAACTGCGAACGGTTGGCTATTCGCCAGGCTATTGGGGGAGGGCGTCTGACCAGACCGTCAGACGTCAAAGCTTGCAAGAAAGAAGATGCTTGATAAAGCTGTCAGGCACCGAGGCTTGGCCCGCACCCGGGCTGATACAGGTATGCTGCTCGTTTCCGAGCCTGCGTTGGCTGTGATGTAGCCAACCGTATACCGTGTCCGCGAGCCCTAAGTAGGGCATACCGATGTTGGTGCTGCTTGGTTGCATCGAGAGGGCGAACACTTCTTCACCTCATGTTTGAACGACTCTTTACTTCGCATTACTTGCAGTAATAGTGCGCGAACAATACAGCCTTTGGTATGACAGCCGGCTGTCACATCTAATGCATCACGCCACTGTAGGCTATGAACAAGCACTCGATCCATCATCGGTCGGATTCAGCTGATATGTCCTAGCAGGGCACATTCTGCTGGCTTCTTCAGGTCCTTACTTGACGGGAACGTAAAGACCGACTCGGCGTCTATTGTGGGGATAGCTCTAATGCTCAGACCACCGGTCTCTAAAATCTTATTGAGTTGCGTTGGCGTCAGTGGCCCAGCCTCGAGCTCGCGCAGCGCCGCAACTCACGGGCTGCAGCTACTGCCTCAGCTGCGTAGCGCGGGCGCGCCTGCGAGCGATGTCACTTGCAGCATGCGTCGATCAGGTGCGCCACTGCGTGTCCGCCAGGCGCACGCCCGCGCAAAAAGAGGCTGGCCCCTCGGACGCCGCGCCCCCCGGCTTCGTCATCGGCCTCGTCGTTGCGGCGACGATGACCAGAGTAACTAATGAGGTCCTTCTCCTGTCGGGGTCATGATATGACGTGGCATGTTCTTTGGACCCCGGGGTAGTTTGCGCGTCGCGGGCTTGTCCTCGTACTTGTAGTTCGGCGGGTTCTTCGACAAGTTGTAGTGGAACCGCATATACCATCAAACACACTCGCGCGATCAATGCATATGCTAACGCACCACGTAACCCTATGAAAATATCAGATAGTGTTGCAGTCGCCTTTTCTTCTGCTGCAGCACCCGTAAGTTCTGGGTGTTGTACCCTTTGATGTATTCACCCTGTTCATATTGGACGCGGCCGTCCTCGGTCTCGGCGTAGCGCTCGGCGCAGTTACTTTAGCTGTGCTTTTGTAAGTTCACATGCGCCGCTACGTCGTCAACGCGATTGGCTGGCGGGAGGTTTGGGCACGTCTCGAATTCTTCATCGCATGAGCTAGGTGTCAGCCCAAAGCCTCCCGTGATGGCCCTGAGTTTAAGTGAGAAGGCCCCGGGTGCAACTTTGGCGTCGGCGCCTGCGTTCAAGCCCTGCAGGCATCGCTTTGACTCGCCATAAGACGCAAAGCCTGGCAGCGCGCGTAGCACCGATGCTGAGCCAGGTGGCCAAGTAAAGCAGGCCATACGCTCCTTCTCTCCAGTGGCTCTGGCCAACTCACGATAAGTCCGGCCTTTCAGGAAGGCCGCGTCAATGTCCATGGACGCCATGGCCCACGTTTCTCGCACGCGGCCGCGCCCGCGAGCAGTCTCTGACCTGCTCGGCAAGCTTTGCCCGAGAAGGCTTCTACGCCGCAGGCTTCGACATCCATGGAGCCAGGAAGGGCCAGGCGAAGCCGGGTGGTTCGTCCCATCTCGCCTTCTTCATTCTTCGCGAACTTCCATGTGCGCACGTGTCTAGATGTCAAGATGTGAGCGGCGTGCGTAATACCGTGCATCTTGAAGAACTTGGAATCCTAAAATATGTTTAAACCCTGTGAAAGGCCTTGGATATCTAGGCCGGGTTCAACAATATTCAAGCCTTCGCCAAACGGTCGTCTTCATTGACGACCACGGCTCTCCTGGCTGTAGCCATGAAATATACGCGCGTAGTGGTTTCCTGACCGTCATGGAATGATTTGCGTCGTTGTTCTGTCAGAACGTCCCTGGCCGCATCATTGGAGAAACACAGCTGAACGCACTGACCGTGTTCGCCCGAATCAAAAGCACATGGTTCGTCATGTTCGCCGATGCAGGGCGCTAAGAATGCATCATCAGTGCCGTCATGACGATCGCGGCCTATGTCCTGCAATTGTCTGTATTCCACTGGCAGCAATCGCGAGCGCGTGATTTTCAGAAAGCAATTCAGTGGGAACATACTATACATGATTTAACATGCTCTCAAGCAGAAAACCTACTACTATCTGGCTGGGTTGCACGCGCAGCGGGGGCACGATGGAGGTCGTTCGCCATCGAGCCCCGGTTTTTAAGTCCTGCAGAGCGGCGAAAGCACAGGCGGGCAGGGAGCGACGGGGCGGGCGCCTTTCTGCTTGAGCCCCGATGATTACGAGGGCCAAGAGGCGTCAGACGGACGCGCGAGAAGCGACACTCACAAACATCACAAATCATTCCCGCGCACGCACTAACATGATTTACCATGTTTTCAAGCGGAGACCGTCTGCGACTATCTGTCTGGATTACACGCGCAGCGCGGGCGCGATGGAGGTCGCCCGCCATCGAGCCCCAGCTAAAGCCCCAAACCCCCGAATTAGATCAGGGTTCACGCGGGCGGGGCGAAACGGGGCGGGAGGGGGCGAGACCGTGCGCGGCGCCGACAGGCACCGAGCAAAAACAGCCAGCGCATCACCGGGCACGGGCCCTCACGGGACCCACTCAATGAAAAATGGAAACCGCGAGGTTCTGACAGACCAGAACTCTGGCGAGAGCGGCGGCGAGGCGAGACGGATACGGCCGAGCAAGGCGGCCCCACAATGCGTTTTTATCATTGCGACCGCTGAGTTCCTGATGTCGGCGGCGGGCGCGAGAGTAAATGCCGCGATGGCCTGAACAGCAGCGGCTCAGCAGCGCAATGTCGTCATCGTCGACAATTGCCGCGCGCAAGCCATGTCCGTTTTCGCCGCGGTGTTCCCCACTGACAGTAATCGGTGAGCCGCCAATCCGCCGTCGCCTGATTGCACAAGCGGAATATCGCAGGTACAAACCACAATATCGACGTCCGTGGGTTCTCGAGGACCCAGGGGATTTTGCATCTACTCAGGTTCCGAAGAATACGCATCGTGACACGACTCAGCCGGTTGCCATTTTCGAGAGACCCTCAATCACGTTCAGGGGCGCGGGCGAGATCGGCACCCCAGGTCTGATCGCGAGAGCGAATCTGGAAAATTCTATCTCTGGCTATTGTCAACGAGGCACAGACTAAAGCAATCACTGCGGCAAAAATCTTGCTGCCCTTGATATCTGACAACAGGTGTCGCAACACTCGCTTTCCAGAAGAATCGCGATCGGCCCCATGAATGATCCCCCATGCGCGGGCCGCGAAGCATTGGCTGACTATGCAACGGCCCACCTTGCCGCTCCTTGAAAAATGTCCGCCGCGCATTTCCCAACACGAATCACCTTCCGGCAGGCGGCAGCATTTAAACGCGTTCGGGCGACCGCGGGAACTCGGCGGGGCGCGACCAGGACCTGCGCATCAACATCTGCGTGAGCGTCGCGGGGCTGCCCCAGAAGTGGTTCGTCGCGACCGGCCTCTCGCGCCGAGCTAGGCCCCCCGAGCCAGCCTGCGCCTGCAGCGAGGGTCCGAATGTAGAAAGCCCGATAGTTGGATCGCTGCCCGAAGCTCCCCCCAGAAGGTCACATAGACGAAGAACCAGAGCGGGGCGCTCTTGGTGTTCAAGGCCAGGGGGTGGACCAGGAATAGCAGCTGACTGCGTGGACTGCCCCGTTCCATCGAGCCCTTGCAAGCGTCCGTCACGGACTTCGAGGCTCCCGCTGAAAGCTTCGAAAGGGTGATCCAGCGCTGCAGCAACTGGGAGCTCGGGTCCTCGGTCGGACAGAACAGGGGGCCCATGCGCATCGTCGCGGCGAACGGCCCCCTCGGGCGTCGGCGCTGGATGGCCCCCTTCGACTCGCATCGCGACAGTCTGCTCCACGTCTGCCGAAGCAATGCCATCGCTGACCTCGGCGGCGGCCCCGCCGATGGCAGCGGCCGTGACGCGCGCCGCAGCAGCGACGGCGTCGAAGCCCGTAGGGTTCTTCTGCGTTAATCTCCACCTCAGCAGCGGGAGGCAGGGCTTCATCGTGTCCACTGGAGGCGCTGTCAAACTGGGCATCGTCGACGCCAGTGTCACTGCTGTGGGCTGAGACGAAGCCGCCGTCCCGATCGGTCCAGGGCAAGGAAGTGTCATCGCCATCGATAGAAACTTGAGGCAGCATCTCATTGATGTCGAGCGGGCATGCTTCATTGAGAACGCCGAAGAGGGCGGGGCCGTGCACCCCGATCGCGGCGTCAAGATTCACCTCTTGAGCCAAGGTGCATTCGGGTGCAGCTTGTTCCGCGTGCCGAGGTTGACCGACCGGGCGTGTGAGGTCCCTCTTGGGGTTGTAGTTGGGGTCGTAGATCCGGGGGCCTGCGTCGCTGCTGAGCTCGGAAGGATGCCATCGGACCCCAAAACATACCCCACGGCCAGCGCATAGGCCGCAATTCGCCTGATCTCGAAGGGTGTAGTAGTTGGCAAGCGCGCGGCCCGCCCGGCCGCGCTGCCCACCGCGGGGGGGGGGGGGGGGCGCGAGACGGCCAAAAAGATGTGCCCCGAGGGCGCGGCGTCGCCGGCCCTACCGGCAGGCCCTGCGGCGAGCCTCCGGGGCGCTGGCCCTGCGCCGGCGGCTCGGACGGAACGCAGAGAGAGGGAGAGGAGGAGGGGCGACCATGCGAAGACGAACGCGCGGGCGGGAGGCCAGGGCTAACGAAGCGAGGCAGGCAGGCCGGCGGACAGGGGCGGAAACGGGACAGTGAGCAGGGAGGGGAGGAGGAAGAGGACGAGGACAAGGAGGAGGAGGGGCACCAAAAGGGCAGGGCCAGGGGCCGGGAGAGAAGGGCCGCCCGCGACGAAACTACGGGCCCTACGGCGGCGACAGGAAGTGGTCGTAATGGGTGTCAGGAACCGTTGTGGGCGTCGGGAAAGGCGTCGGGATCGTTGTGGGCATCGGGGAGGGCGTCGGGGTCGTCGTGGGCGTCGGAAGGACATCGCGGTCGTCGGGCTCGTTGTGGGCGTCGGGAAGGGCGTCGGGAAGGGCGCGGGGCGCCGGCCGCGCCCGGCGCGCTGCGGCTTGGCGGGGGGGGGGGCCTCCGCGGCATCACCCAACGCCCCGCCGAGGAAGGGGCGGCCGGCAATGTGGGGGGGCGCCGGCGCGCCACCCGCGGAGGGGCGCGGGGGGGGCGCCCGCGCTGCCCAGCCAGGGTGGGGGGAGGGAGGGCGGGGGGCGCTAGGCTGCGCCAGCGTGGCGGACCACGCGGCGTCAGCCGTGGAAGCAGCTGCGGCGGCGGCCAAGCGGGCCGCGGCCGCCCCCGCCCCTCCAGACTGGATCTGGAGGCGCCGCAACACCGCCCGCGCGTTCTCCATGTGCTGGGAGATGGAGAGTCGCTGGGCGTGTCGGTCTGCTACAAGTACGGCGTCTTCCCCCGTCGCGTCAGCCACCCGCTTGGCCAGGGCCCCGAAGGCCCCGCGCGCCTCGTGGCCCCACCCGCCGCCGCGGGCTTCCACCACCATGGGGGGGAAGGCGAAGCCTTGCTCCGCGCACAGCCGCGCGGTGCCCAAGCGCAGCCTTTTGAACTCCTCGCACCTGTCCGTCGGCGCGTTCGATGAGGCGGCCGACGCGGCGAGGAAATCGGCGCGCAACCCGGGCGCGGCGGCAAAGTCCCAGGCAGCCGCCGCGCCGTTGCGCCATCGCGGCAGGTAGACGTCGGCGGGGCGGCGGCCGTTGTCGCCCACCTGGGGCCCGCCCTGCTCGCCCCCGGGGGCGCCCCCCCCGTCGGGGCGCGGGGGCAGCAGACCTGGGCGCTCCAACTCCGCCCGGGCGTGGCCGGCGGCCAGGGCGTCGGAGAAGGCCTGGCCGCGCAGGGCGTCGCGGCGTTTGGTCCGGTCGCCGCGGCAGGCGCAGACCAGGGCGCGGTCGCAGAAGACGTCGATCACCTCGCCACAGGCTGGGCAGAAGCACCCCTCCTGCTGGAGCTGAACTCGCAGCCGCCTCTGCAGGCCGACCTGCACGAGGCCGCGCGGGAAGGCGGCGCCGGTGGCCTCGCAGGGCGGCGCCCGGAGCCACGCGGCAGCGCCTGGGGCTTGCACCAGAGAGAGGTAGGCGCGCCTTGCCGGCCAGGGTGGGGCCCGCCAGAAGCCCGTCGAGCGAGGCGCTGTCCACCGCGTCGGAGAGGGCCTTCTGGTTGCCGCGCTGCGCGTGGTCGAACACCACCCGGTCGGCGCCCCACACGACTGCGTTGTGGGCCTGCACCGCAGCCGCCAGGCTACCTCCGTCGCGGTCGGGGATGTTGGAGTAGCCGGGTAGAGCTGCCGACAGAGGTCAGTGCTCTTCGCTCTGGAAGCGACGTAGGCAGCGGCGGCGTGCTTCGCGGCAGAGCGCAGGCCGAGCCCTCCCTTGTTGAGCTTGAGCTGAGCCTGCTGCCAAGAAGCGTCGGAGGGCGAGCAGCCGCTCAGTTGCTCAAGGCAGGCCCAGACAGCGTCGCCCATGGCCAGCAGGGAGGCGGCGCGCGCGGTGGGCGGCACCACGCGCGCGGAGTAGCCCAGCTTGCAGAAGGAGGCGCAATCGCACAGGAGGCGCAGCGCAACCTGCGCGTTTTCGAGCCCCCCAAAGCTTCCAGCAAGGCGGTGGCGATCGCGACCCGCTGCTTGGTGTGCTCCGCGCAGAAGTCCGCGTCTCCCACTGGCGACGAGCAGCTCGAAGCTGCGGTCGGTGCGGAGGCGGAAGCCCAGCGGGAAGCCGTCCAGAGACACGTCGGAGGCGTCTCCGCCGGTGGGGGCCACCTCACACTTGCCTGGGCCGGCGCTCAGCTGGAGGCCCACCGCGGCAAGGATGGCCACGAGCAAGTGGAGGAGGCGCGCCCGGCCGGCGCGTCGCCCGCGAGGCAGCCGTCGTCCAAGTAGAAGAGACTGAGGTCGACGGCGCCGTCGGCGCCGTGGCGCGGCGCGCGGCGGGCGGCCTCGGCGGCGCGCTACAGTGCTAGGGAGAACAGTAGGGGGCCCAGGGTGTCGACCTGCTGCACCCCGCACTCGGAGCGGACTGTCTGCTTGCCCAGGAGGAGAGTTGACGGGCGGGAGAAGCACCCGTCAGCCCAAGGTGCCAGCCCGAGAACTCTTCGTGGACCGCGCGGAGCAGAGCCTGCCTGTCCAGGGTGTTGGAGGCGTAGGACAAGTCCTGCTTCACGAACACCTTCCCCCGGTCCCCGAGGCGGCGGGTCCACCACTGGCGCGCGACGTGCACCGCCGCCTCGGTGCCGCCAGGGGCCGCGACGCCGATCTGGAGGGGAGCTAGTCGGTCGCGCGCGGCGTCGGCAACCTCGTGGCAGAGGCACTTGCCGACGAGGCGCCAGAGCAGCTCCCCGACGGCAACAGGGCGCAGGCCTCCGTCCTTCTTCGGCAGGACCACCAGAGAGGCGCCCGCGAAGTACTCGGACACGACAGGCGGGGCCTGCCCCCTGGCGCAGAGGTTGACATGGCTCCGGAGCTGGTCGGCGACCTCGTCCCTGTGGGCCGCGTTGAGCAGCGCGTCTTTGAGGTGTTGGGGTCGGGGGCCCGTTGGCCCAGCAGCCGAGCCCCAGGGGAAGGCCCGCACCTCCCTCCGGACCGCGCCCCCGCCCACCTGCAAGGCAGCCGCCGCGTGCACCGCCGGGAGGTTGGCGAGGTCCACATCTCGGTGGCTGCGCGGGTGTTTCTGGCGCGGCAACGTCGGCGGTGACCCCCGCGGGGGGCTCGCTGGTTAGAGCCGAGCAGCTCTTGGAGTACTGAGCGTCCGCAGCGGGCTGCACGCGCCGTTCTGCTCTCTCGGCGTCGTCGGAGGCAGTTCTGGCGGCGCGAACCTCTACGGTCTCGGCCCACAAAGAGGCCCGCTGCCCGTCCAACCAGCGCTGGTAAAGCGCCTTAGTCCGCGCTTCGCTAGCCGCCCTGCTGCCCCGGCCGCCGCGGGCGTGGGCGCAGAACACATGTTCCCAGACCTCCTGGCGTCGCATTTTTTTCATGACGCCCCTCTTGTTATGAATTTTCTGTGATGTCTTGATTTTTTGTTACACGTTTCAATGTCTTGATTTTGGCTCAATTGACAGCGCCTTGTCAGCCCTTGATAACCACTGAAAAGCCTTGACATCCACGGAACCCATGGATTCCCGTTGTGAACCTAATTGGCCGAGCGGATTTCGGGTGACCCGCGCAGTGGGCGGGTCACCCCCGCGCGCGGGTGACCATGGTCACCCGCGCGCGCGCGTAGGGAGTTCTGTATCGTCCACAACAGAGAAGTCGGCACGTCCGTCGGCCTCCTATAAAGAACCCCAGAAATTTTGAATTCAGTTTTTGACATCACACGCCGACTTCTCCATTGTGGACAATACAGAACTCCAACGCCCGCGCGCGCGCGTAGGGAGTTCTGTATCGTCCACAACAGAGAAGTCGGCGCGTCCGTCGGCCTCCTTAACGAGCCCCAGAAACTTTGAATTCAGTTTTTGGAATCACATGTTGACTTTTCCATTGTGGACAATACTGAACTCCAACGCGCGCGCGCGCGCGCGCCGGGTGACCATGGTCACCAGCGCGCGCACGTAGGGAGTTCTGTATCGTCCACAACAGAGAAATCGGCGCGTCCGTCGGCCTCCTTAATGATCCCCAGAAATTTTGAATTTGAGTTTTTGGGATCGCATGTAGACTTTTCCATTGTGGGACAAACCGAACTCCAACCGCGCGCGCGCCACGCGCACGCGCGGGTGACCATGGTCACCCGCGCGCGCGTAGGGAGTTCTGTATCGTTCACAACAGAGAAGTCGGCACGTCCGTCGGCCTCTTTAAAGAGCCCCAGAAATTTTGATTTCAGTTTTTGGCATCACATGTCGACTTCTCCATTGTGGACAATACCGAATTCCAACGCGCGCGCGCGCGTAGGGAGTTCTGTATCGTCCACAACAGAGAAGTCGGCGCGTCCGTCGGCCTCCTTAATGAACCCCAGAAATTTTGAATTCAGTTTTTGGGATCGCATGTAGACTTTTCCATTGTGGACAATACCGAACTCCAACGGGTCACCCGCGCGCGCGTAGGGAGTTCTGTATCGTTCACAACAGAGAAGTCGGCACGTCCGTCGGCCTCCTTAAAGAGCCCCAGAAATTTTGAATTCAGTTTTTGTCGACTTCTCCATTGTGGACAATACCGAACTCCAACGCGCGCGCGCGCGTAGGGAGTTCTGTATCGTCCACAACAGAGAAGTCGGCGCATCCGTTGGCCTTCGTAAAGAGCCCCAGAAATTTTGAATTCAGTTTTTGGAATCACATGTTGACTTTTCCATTGTGGACAATACCGA